AACTGAATAGGATCATCCAATCTACAATACTTGGACTATGAAGGTACAAGGTGACAAGATGATTAAATTAGTCGTCTAATTACATCTTAGTATATAGCTCAGAAAAGGAAAAAGGAAATGAACAATCACATTTTCAAAATTTCTCATGGTAGTTAGAGAGATATGAGGTGAAAATGGAAAATTTGATAGATATTAGGTCTTGTCTTGTTCTTGTGAGTATTGTTGATTCATCAGGAGTTCCAAACGTACTCTTGTCACCAAATTAATTATACGTGGTTGCGAATATTTCTCTTATTACAATAACTACTAGATAAACAAGTTCATGCTTGAATATGTGAATTTCTTTTCTGTGAAGCAATTTTCGAAACATTTGCTTTTCTTTTGAAATCTATCTTTTGAATAGAATCACTACAAGATTTCACACATTTGCCGACCACTTTTGCCGACAAAAAAAAATTTGGTCGCAAAAAAATGACATTTGCCGACCAAATATTAATTAGTCGCAAATGATCATTATTTTTGGCGACCAAATATTATTAGTCGCAGAAGGTTATATTTTGGCGACCAAAAAAGAGTTGGTCGCAGAAAGTGGTATGCTTTTGGCTACCAACTACAAATTTGGTCGTGGAATGTGACATTTTTTTTGGCGACCAAAAATTTGGTCGCCAAAAACTTATTTTCAGCAACAAAAAAAAATTAGTCGCCAAATTAGCACTTTTAGCGACTAATATTTTAGTCGCCGTTGATTGAGATTTGGCAACTAAAAAAAATTGTCGGCGAAGGGTACCTTTTTTGCGACTAATTTTGTATTTTGGTCGCCAAAAATTTGTGAGGGAAATTTGAAACGTAGGGCGGGAATTGAAATTTTTTTTTCTTTAGGGTTCTGTTAGCTCACACATTTTCATTTTCTCCTCTCTCATCTGTTTCTCTCAAACAAACAAACAAATATATCAAAATATGCCCACAATGTATCCCTGTTTCTCTCACTCTCTCCATCTGTTTCTGTTTCTCTTTATTATTCACACAAGCACAAACCCTAGACCACCATTCAAAACCACCACCACCAAAAATGTCTCACGCCATGGTGGCGTCGCCCTATTTCCCCACCGTGAGGTCGGCGGAGAACTGACCAAGGCAGAGGTCGGCGAACTGAGGTCGCGGCGAACTGACCAAACCAGGTAGCAGTGCGTGGAGCCGCCTACACTCTACCATTGCTAATCCTCTCGATTTCAGACCTCTTGCATCAGGTAAACACTTTCTCTCTTTCTCTCTCTCTCTCTCTTTCGCTCTCGTTCCCCCAATTTCAAACCCTAACTATAATTTTCAACTTTTCAGATCTTTACCTCTCAAGAGTTTCTTCACCTTGAATTTGCTAAACCTGTAGTTTTGGCCTCCTGTAATTAATTTGATTGACATGGATTGAAGAAAACCCCTTAGTCGGGTATTGAATTTGGGTATTGAAAAGTGAATTTGGGTATTGAAAAGTGAATTTGGGTAGTTTTTGCCTCCTGTAATTGTTTGAATTTGGGTATTGAAAAGTGAATATCTCGTTCTAGGTGCAGTGGGATTGGGGTTTTTGGATTCTTGGTTCTCATTTGATGAAAAATCTGTGCTGCCAATACTATAATATATGTTGTGTTTTCTACATTTTTTCCCTGAGCAACGAAATATGGGTTTCTGATTTTTATTTTTATTTTTATTTTTTAATGGTTGATCTTGTGATTTAAACTTCTTAAGTTGGGTTTATTTATTGGTTGGTCGATTTTTAGAAATCCATAATCATCATTTCTTGCCTTCAACAATACTGTTGGAAATGAGTAGGATTTGCGTCTAGGTTTCTTCTTCTCATTGTATGTCAATGTCATGTCATCTTACATCACAAAAGGAAGGATTTATAAGATGTTTCAATTTTATGTTGATTTTTTGTGTGGATGCATATGTAGTTAATAAAATATGTATATCATAGTAATAACAAAATGCATATTTGAATAACTGTTGGAATTTTTTTTTTTAAAAATTTTTTATAGCAAAAGTGCAACTAGAATACTCTTACCTCACCGTGATTGTTGGTAAATGTCAGATGGTAAAGGAACTATACTTTGAATCATAATTTTTTCATTGGATGCAACTGAAGAACCAAAAAAAGATTGGCATTCTTGTTCTATTCAACGTTTTCTTTCCTTTTGTCAGTGTATTACAAGACATAACCAGAGCCCCTAACAGCATTAATATTCATCTAGCATCCTTCTATTACAACTTTGGGCATAAGTTCATTTTGGTATCAGGAACATATTAATTCAGTCTCTTAATATGCTATAGAGTAACCTCCTTGGCTTAAGAGATTCATGTCCTTGATGAATCAGAGAATTCAATGTTGTGAATTTTCGTGAAATATGCTTCCTTGGCTTGGCATGATTTTCCTTTTAATTTTGTTACTGGGTGGTGGGTTTGAGAAGGGATGGTTTTCTCACATTATCTGCACTTCATTGACATTTCAGGATCTTGATGGTGCATGTCAAGTGATTGAAGGTCTTCAAATTTTCTCTCCTTAGTCATTTTTTAATGCTTGTTTTCTCTTGGTGATTAGATGAAAAGTTGGTAGGAAAAATTTGTATATGTTGCATATAAATAGAGCGTGGGAAAAGCTTTATACTTAATAATAAGATTACTAATTTTATTTTTTTCTAAATGAAGATCAAATGTATCTACCTTGGGAAAGATTTGATTCATTTTGAATTATTTAATTTAGAATTAAAAAGCTTATCTGAAGGTAATTTCTAATCTTTGAATACGCAAGCTTGCATTGTTAGGGAAATTATCTTTGTGAGTTTTTGGTGTAGGCTACGGATAAGAAATGATTGCTGATATTTGGTACTTTCATGTTATGTTAATTGATTGGATCTTAATTATTTTACACCGAGATGACTTGGTAGCGAAAGTAATAAAGTACTATTGATACTTGTATGTGCTGATTGTTAGTTGATATTGATATTTGTGTTTAGATTTTTGGGGGTTGGCTTGAGGAACCATGAACTAGAACAAGAGACAAAAGAGGGACAATTAATCAATAGTATTTCGAAAACCCACAAGACGAGAGAGATATCCCTTTTAAGTTGTAGGAGAATAGGGTTGGCTTTGATATGGAATTAATGGTCCCATAGGGGGCAAGGAAGCTCTATTGGAGAACTTTGAATCTCACCTCCTACAAAAAAAAATTAAAAAATATAATATTGTAAACGTGTTTGGAGAGAGTCTAGTCACACATGAGTGGTTTGGAGAGAGTCTAGTCACACATGAGTGGTTTGGAGAGAGTCTAGTCACACATGAGTGGTTTGGAGAGAGTCTAGTCACACATGAGTGGTTTGGAGAGAGTCTAGTCACACATGAGTGGTTTGGAGAGAGTCTAGTCACACATGAGTGGTTTGGAGAGAGTCTAGTCACACATGAGTGGGCATGTTGAAGAGAATAAATTTGGAGTAATATTGCAATGACTATCTACTTTAACCATCTTATCTTATCATTTGATATGTCAATCTAATTGACAATATATATATATATATATATATAATTAATATGATATAGAGAAATATGATGATTGTAATTTATTGATAAATTTGTGCTTTGCAGGTAATTTGTACATTGTAGTGATTGCTTTATCTAAATCTCCAATATGTTAGTTGACAAATAATTGAGAATTGAATTTTTGTTGGGAGAGACAAGGTTGAAGTAGAGCATGTTGGCCAGGTAGTAAAGAAAAGGCCAACCTATTTCTTTTCATTGATCATTACCCAAATTTTATTTGTTCTTTATTAGACCATTGCCAACGGTAATACTATTATTTGTTATATTATTAACAAAGATTTTAGCTCATCCAACCATTATTTTCCTTTTTCAAACTCATTTTTAAATAGTTTTTTGGAGATCGATAATAATTGTGATTTAATCTTTGTCTGAAAGGATAATATTGGAGAACTTGCCCTTTTTTTTTTTTTCTAAACTTTATTTATTTGTGTTTTGGGCTTGCTAATATGCCAAAAGTTAACCAACGGGCTAATTCGATTGATAGAGAAGTTGACGTTATCTGTAAGACTATTAATTGCCAAGATCTGGTGCTACTAATCGTTGCTGTCAACCTACCTCACAAACAATCAATGCAAAATAGATGGAGCATAACCTACCCCACAAAAAATGCCACCTTAGTTGGAGCCTTAGACGCAAACTCCTTCCCAAGAAAAAAAGAAAGATCAATGTTGACTGCTCAAGACTTTATAATAAGTTATTACTTTAAAGCTTACAAATTTTGATCTCGTCCAATGCATCCCATCCTCTTCCCCTCCAATATGGAGAATGGCATAAAGGCAGCCAAGAAGATCCACCAACTCCCCATAGAAAGTAATATCCTAGAAAATTTGGCTTATCTTTTTTGAGCACTGAGGTAGTCACTAATATCAGTTGTCCAGCTTATTATATTATGGGGCACTGTCCAAACAATAATTTTTTTTTTTTAAAGAACTGAACATGTCAAAACAAAATGACCTAGGTGAGAGGCTTCAGTCATATCAGCTAAAAAATTATTACTAGATTTGATTGACATTTCTCGCATATCCTGCAGGTATTGTTTAGATTGATTTGATGCAGGATTGAACACTATCTTTTATTGCATTCTCTACATCATTAGCAAACCAGTCTTGTCTAATTGTAACTTTTTGGTACTAAATTGCCTTGTGCTTAGAGGTAGCTACCTAATACATATAGAATCCTTGTTAAAAGTTTATTGAGCACTGAGAATTTCATATTTCAGATCTCTAATTGGAACTTTTTTGTACTGAACTGCCTTATGCTTTAGTTACTATATCATTCATTGTTGCTTGTAGGTCGGTGATCCTCTTGAGAAGGCTGCACTTAAGGGAATAGAATGGAGTTATAAATCTGATGAGAAGGCTATGCCGAAAAAGTAAGCAGCAACATTAGTTGTCACTATTTAATTAGTACTCAATTGTTGTTTGTCTTGGTCTTTACATGATATAAATTGTTCCAATCTTTAATCTCTCTTGCACCCTCGATTTGTTCTAACTAATGTTATTTATCACTTTTCTTATTGTAGTTAGGTATCTTCAATGTTGTACTTATAAAAAGAAAATGATGAGGGAAAAAATATGCTAATGGACAATATGAAAGGCTAAATTTTATCTTTACTTGTGAAACAAATCTGAATCAAAGGCCGGCTGCCCTCATTAATGCAACGGAAAATATATTTCCAGCTCATTTGCACAGATACAGACTCGAACACATATGTATAAGTGCTCCAGCAGTGCTTTGGGCCCTAAATGTGTTGAAATCTGATGCTCCTCCACTCTTACTCCCTGTACTGCTCCTGCTCTTGCTATGTGAATCAGTCACCTAAGCAAGGAGCACCGTTTTGTTTCTTTTCCATTGAAATGGTCAAAATGTTTACATTTCTTACGTTTCTTAGGCTTCATCGTGGGGTTTTGCATCAAGGAGACTTCCAGAAGTTTCAATTCACTTTTATTATTTCTGACAATTTCCTTTTATGCACGGGCCACATATCTCCAGAACCAAAATTTCATCTCAGGTCTTTCGGGAGATGAGGTTATACGGAACCGCATACTAGAATCATTATATAGGCGTATTATGCGAGCATACAATGAGAAGAAGTGTTTTAGGGCTTTTATTGTCATACCACTTCTACCTGGCTTCCAGGTAATAACACTTGGTGATTTGCTTTCAATGTCAAATTTTAGGTAGTTACTCCGTTTTCATAATAAGTTTTTAACAGGGGGGCGTGGATGATGGTGGTGCAGCAGCTGTGAGAACCATTATGCATTGGCAATATCGAACAATTTGCAGAGGACACAATTCAATATTGCATAATCTTTATGATCTTCTTGGTTCTAGGATGCTTGATTACAGATCGTTCTATGGCTTAAGAGCTTATGGCAGACTTCTTGACGGTGGTCCTGTGGCAACCTGTCACGCCCCAAACCCGCCCCTAGAAGTTTGGGCATGACCACTTCAAAAACGGACACTTAACCTGTTATATATAACATATGGGACCTGAATGGAAGCATAAATTTTATATAATAACATGCAAGGAAAGAGCTACATCCATTGAGCGACCACTATCATGCCAAGATCACAAATAGACAAATAATAATAGTTACATACACATATACAACCCCACCCGTGTTTGGGCGTATAATAAAACAAAAACATTAGAAGTTACAACATATTATAGACAATCGGAATCTAAGCCAAAACTTCACCAAACGGGTAGGCTTCACCCAAATGCTTGGACACACAGAGGCTAACAAAGGAAGACGAGCATTAAAAGTTGAGGCTGACCTCCAAACGCAGGACCTACGGAATCAGACAAAATACATAGTGAGATAACCTCAGTGAATAATAGTACGTGAATAACTCAATGTTCAACTTGAATTATAATGCAAATAAGAGTTTATATAATCTTGATTTAAAGATGAATACGGTTCTATTTATTCGGCAAGAAACAACATAGTTTGCTTGTAGATTACAGAGAGTTATTATTCATCACTGACAGAACAAAATAAGTCCAAAGTCATTCAGGAATCACAGACCTATCATGCAGCTCAATCATGTCATATAAACAGTGTATCCAGTTACTTCCCGTACGCAAGTACTACTAGATCCAGTTATAAAATCATAGACCCCATTAAATATGCCACAATCATTGTTATCACATTCATCCCGATTTTGTAATGTCAAAATCAAATAGATAATGATATAGGAAAACAATATTCCATCGTAAATCAATTCGTAACCATGTATTGCATATCATTCAAATCCGTGTCAACTTGCAATAAGAGGTAAATGCCCGATGCATAACCTCAACCAACCATTAACATAGCATATTCCCAATTCCATTTGTTCCTATCAAAGTTCACAATGTCTTATAGAACGGTTCACATGCTAATGATTTCGTACTTATAAATCGTGACCATACATAAGCAGGATTTAATTCTTGCAGTAAGTTGCCAAATTATCAATCTTTAGCTTCAATCTCAAAGTAGTCAATAGCTACTCATCTTTTGACAAGTATCATATGAACAAACTTATAGCATGGGTGAGATTCTTTCTGTCATTCAACCATTCTTTATAAGAAATC